ATGCCAATGTTTCTCACACTTCAACACGAATTTTGTCTGGCGAAGGAGAATACTTAACAAAAAATTTGAATTCAAAGAGCAAAATCATAATGATTTAAGCATTATTAGAATGACACTATTACTTAGGAAATGTATTCAAGTATTGTTTTATGCGGTAAAGCTCCCAGCTCTTCTCGAATCATTCTTTTCATTCTTTGGCATTTTGTTCTTTTGAGGTTTCATAGCTTCCACAAGAATTGTTTCTCGAATAACTGCAAGTTTATGCGGCTGGATTTTCCATTTGTGAAGTGTAGATGATTTGCAAGAATTTTTGTTGTTAATTAGGCCAACAAAATGAAAAGGTCCCTTGCTAACCACTCTGACCAAGATCCAGTAAAAAGCAGGTCGAAATGCCTGCTTACTCAGGCAAACGACCATCTTATGGCCCATCAACCAGCACTAAAACCACAAACCTCCTAAACGTAGGTGGACCTTGTTTGACACAGCAGTTCCGAATATATTGGAGACGAAGCATTGGTAATAGCCTTGATGGTATCGCTTTGGGCGAACAAATTGTATGGTCCCCGACTGACCGGCTCTTACCCATTCGATATCACCGCCGATTTTTAGTGGGGCGCCATTTTTGAACCACGCAAACCTGCAAATGAGCAATTTATGGTATTTTTGCAATAAGTTCCGTTAGAACTAACGTACGATTCTGTATTCTCAGATGCCTGGCATTTTAGCGTTGGACGAGCATGAGGGCTGAGGTTCTGATCTAATTGGTACCACACTTCCTCTGGCGGTTGAACGAGAAGTTTTGGAGGACCTAACCGTAAGAAGACGTGCTGATGAGAAGACACAAAGCATATTCTTGACAGCTATGGAAAATTGAGCGAACAATCCAAAAAAGCTCATGCCGCGACAATTACTTAATATCACAGTTTTTATAACGAAAACGACAAAAATCTGTTCATAATCAAAATGCTATGAATTCAACACTATTTAAAGTTTTAGGAAATAAAAGGTTTTAGGCAACTATCACCGTTGAAAGAGGCCTTTCAGCGTTTTACTTCTATAAACTATAATGAAAAAAATCATATTTAATGATAAATCTCAACCAACCAAATATGCTGCTGACGGCATTTGCTAATTCCCAGATAGCAAATGCCCATGCCAATATCGTCAGCATCTCATTGAGTCCGATTCGTAATGAGGAGTGTT